CTGGGAATGTTGACCAGAGTCTGTCATATTGTTACGTAGTCCTTACCTGGGTCCTATCAAAGTCTCCTTCTTGCCCCTTCGAATCCATCTGCTATCTCCCTGGTACATGGCCCAACCCGCTCGCTCATCCTACACATATACAGTTAATTCACGGTATTCGGCTAGCAATCCCCTCTGCAACACTCAAGTTGATTGAAAATAGCGGTATATTCTGAAATTATTCTCTTATTGGACGTCAGGGGAGGGCAGTTGCAGTGGGAGAAGTAAACCCCAGGAAAAGCTACAAAACGTTTCCAAGGTTGGTCCATCTGAGGACACAGATACGAAGGACGGCAGATGTCCTAATAGTTTTCCATTAGGACGCTGGTAAAGAATATTAAGCTTCATTAAATCCACGTAATGTAAAACCCTCCCGAGGGATTTGGGATTAAAGGATTATTCAGAGGTACATATAGATGCACATTGGCCTTATGAAGTGGGGTTGAAAGGTGAGGATACGGACTTGGAGAGAAAAATTGGAAGAAAAGAGGTCGCAACAGCTTAATCGAAAATTGGTCAAGAGGATTACTTTCATTTGTCAATGACGAATTTAAACCAGGTGCTAAGGACGGCGCCTCTCATTGACGATGCCGGATAAACTTATGTGAACATACCAAGTCAACCGTCTGATGTTGGAAATTATTGTGAATACTAAGGCAGAAGACGAAGGAATGGTTGTAGCTAGTAAATCCTGAGCGTCATTCCGACCAAGTTGCGAAAACAAGGCTAAATCGAATTAGCTTATATTCAAATCAGAAAAAATGTTTGAAACGATTTGATCTCCCGTTTATTTTCCTACGTTTTAGTTGTTGCACAAGTTGCTATTTATTAGAAATATAATTGCCTAAGAATATAATATGGTTTTCAAATCGTCGGCAAATACCTTTTGGGAAATGAATGGACTTGGTCACATTGATCAGAGGGCTATTAAGAGGCTTATTTGAAAATATTAGCTAGAAAGAGCAACTAAATCAACAATTACATAATATAAAATTGTGCGCGCATCACATATAATGACAAGATCCGATGAAAG